GGGCTTTTTTCTTTTTGCTTATGTGGTGCTGAGGAATCGAACCCAGGGCCTCATGCATGCAAGGCAAGCGCTCTACCACTGAGCCACCTTCCCAGCCCTACTGACAGTAATTTTAAATAGTGCAAGTTTAGAATCTATTCTATTCTTTGCTTTACTTGATGGCTTAGCTGTGGGATTTGTGCCACTTCCTTCATTCCTCTAAGTCTCATTCTCTCCTCTTGTGATCTGAGAGGAAAGTACTCCTACAATTCACCTCATAGTATTTAGGGAGGAAATTCATGTAAGCATTTATGGCGCTATTTGACATGATGTGACCCTCAGTGTTGGCTGTGATTCTTTACTACTAATGTAACTAGAAATCCAATTAATCTCCCAGTCCCCCCCCCCTCGGCCACTTTTTTTTGGGGTAAGTCCTGGGGCTTGAACTCTGGGCTTGGGCACTGTCCCTGAGCTGCTTCTGCTCAAGACTAGCACCTTACTACTTGAGCCTCAGTGTCACTTCCCACCTTTCCTGAATAGTTCATTTGAGAGTCTCACAGACTTTCCTGCCTGAGCTGTCTCTGAACTGTGATCCTTAGACCTCAGCCTCCTGAACAGCTAGTATTATAAGCGTAAGCCACCAGCGCCTGGCTTCTAGCCCATTATTTTAAATTAAAATAATCTGTATTTTTAAAACATAACAACTTCAAATAAAGAATATAAAAAAACACTGCTCATAGGACAGGAAAAAATATCTACAAATCAGTTATGTGACCATGGAGTTATATATTTAAAATTCAACAAAAAAGATAACCCAATATAAAAGCAGACCTGAATCCAAATAGTCATTTCTCCAAAGAAGATATTTAAGTGGCCAAAGGCATATGTAAAGGTGTTTGACACCATTGGTCATTAAGAAATTCAAATAAAAACCACTGTATGATAAAAGCATCCACTCACTAAAAGGGCAATAATAAGAAAGACAAATAATAATAATGGTTGCCAAGGATCAGAAATTGGACCTCTTAACATTGCTGACAGAGCGTAAACTGATAGAACTACTTTGAACCTTGCCTACCAGTTCTTCAGGTCAATTCTGAAACTACAATGTAACCTAGCTCTGTCATTCCTACATATGTACTAAACAAAAGAAATAAGTCTTCAATATACATTTTGTAAATAAATGTTCATAGAAACAGTTCTCATGAAAGTCAAAGAAACAATCAAGTGTGTATCAGCTGATGAATGGGTGAACAACATTCCCAACAATGAAGTATTATTCAGCTATGAAAGTTACAACATGGGTGAACCTTGGAAATATATCTCTCTGGGGCTGGGGGTATGGCTGTAATGGTAAAGTGCTTGTTTCACAAACACAAGGTCCTATGTGCAAACCTAAAACAGTACTACCAAAAAGAAAAAAAATCTTCCTAGTAAAACAAACCAGTCAGCCAGATGCCAGTTGCTCATGTCTGTAATCCTAGCTACTCAGGAGGTTAAAACCTGAGGATCACAGTTCAAAAGCCAATCCAGGCAGGAAAGTGCATGAGAGTCTTCTCTCCGATTAACCATTAGAAAACCGGAAGTGGAGCTATGGCTCAAAGTGGTCAAGCACTAGCCTTGAGCAACAAAGCTCAGGGACAGCACCCAAGCCACGACTGACATAGGAAACCACAAATAGTATGATGTATTTCATAGTATTTTCAGAGTAAACAAACTTACAGCAAAGTAGATTAATGGATGCTTGCGGGTGGGCATAGGGAGGTAAAGTAGGTGGTTAGATGAAATGGGAGTGACTGAATGAGCACAAGGATTCTTTCTCAGTGATTGATATAAGTGTTCTATTACTGTTTATCACATTACATCGGGCACTCCTTTGGATGAATTCCTAGGGATACTCTTTTTGTAAGCAGTCTAAAGCAAAACCTTTCACAGAGTAATTTAATCTATATCATTTCATTTCATGTAAAGCATATCCAATTTGTGCTTTTTAAAGATAATGAGGACATATGGCATTCAAACTTGATTAAAATGTTCACTGTGTTGGGATGTTGGTTTACTTTTCCATCCTTATCTCCTGCTGACTCTCAAGGGGAGAACCACAGACCCAGTGGTATCACAGCATCTTGATAGTGTTATACAAGTAACAACACTCACCTCAGCCTCCTGCACACATCTTTTTACCAACAGCATCTTCAGGCCTCCTGGGGCTACTAGACATGGAGGTTTCTTTGGTACAGGTGGGTGTGCCACTGTAAAACGGAGGTGGGAGGCACTGTCAGGCAAGACTTCTGTTGTAGGCAGGAAGTCAGTCGGGGACTCGGTCCTGGCCGGGGAAGCTGTACTGGGTTGGGTGTCTTCAAATACATTTTTTATAGCTTCAACAAAGGTCTCAGCAGTCTTCTCAGATGGGTCCACAAGGTAAATCTCTTTCAAGGAGCTACCTTCCTGCTTATATTGGTAGTAGTCTTTGATGGCTGAAACAATGCTCCATACACTCTGGTATAAGAGAAAGCTGAAGATTCCAGAACTGATAGCTGGAATGGCTATGGATTGGTACTTGTATTGCTCAGCTAAACTAAGACTGGTTTCCACAGCTCGCTTTAACAGGAATACACACCTTGGCACATCATGGCCATTCCCCTGAGGCCCTACTGCATGGATCACACGCTGGCAAGGGAGCCTTCCTGCTTTGGAGATGGTCGCATTGCCAGGTAGGATCTTGCCCCTTTTCTTCACTATCTCGTCACAGTCTGCTTGAAGCTCAGGGCCAGCTGCTTTTAAGAGAGCAGCAGCAAGCCCACCAATATGCTTGAGGGTCTCATTTGCAGCATTCACCACCACATCCACTGGAAACTGAGTCAAGTCACCCTGCTTCACAATCAGCATGACACCAGGAGCCACCCTCTTCTTAAAGAAGCACTTCTGTACATTTTCACTGCCTACCTCCTCCTGTTTTTCTTTGTCCTCTTGGAGTTCAATGCTACAGCTATACAACCGTCTGACCTCACTTCTGTAAAACAACACTTTATCCTGGAAGAATTGCCTGGCTCCTGGCTTATCAATGTTAAAGGTTTTAACACAGATTAAATTCTGAACTTTTGCAACGATGTCTGTTCCTTCTAGTACTTTACTCTTGGTACCAATCAGTAAAATGCCATTCTTTCTGTTTTCAGGCTTGAAAATTACCTGCACACCTGTCTTCTTTGGCCAGAATTCCTTCTTGTTTGCCCTGAAGTAGTCTAGAAGCAAGGATGGCTTGACCTCAATGAATCTCTCTATTCTCATATGTTTTTCCAAGAAGTAAAAAAGCAAGGTATAGATTTCATTGACTTCTTTCACACAACCTGCAATGATCACCTCAGCTGGAGATCCTGAAGTTAATTCAGTGATTGCCACCACCTTTGTGTGGGAATTGTGTTTCTTTTGCAAATCATTAACTTTCTTTTTCCATTTGTTGCTATTAAGAATTTCCTTGTCTTCAACTTCAATGCGTTTATAATTTAAGCCACTGAGCATTTGTTCTTCAGCTTGTGCCTGATCTTTAGCAGAACAGCTGGTCAAGTCAACAGTTATATCATATAGATCATAGACTGCAAGAACTTTCTGTTTTATAAAGAGAAACTGAGACAATTCTTTACAGTCTACCTGTTGCAAAAAGTTGGAGACCTCAGAAGAAATCTGAAGTGTTTTCCGAACCATGGAAAACATCACTGCCAGGACTTCACTCTTTAATTTATACACATCTGCACGGGGTCCTTTAACACACAGGTAGTGAGTGGATTCATTGTAAGAGAGTTCCATCTCTGGGCACTCTGTTCCTAGATGGTTCAGGAAACCACTATGGCACAAAAGAAAATACTTTCCTGGAGAAATGGCCACTTTTTCCTCCAGACTCTCCTGTTCCTTTCTAATTTTTTGCATGGTGTTTTCTATTAATTCCTTGGTTTTCAAGGTAATGTTTTGCACATCTTCTGATTTTCCTGCTAAAATCATCATCTCCTCAGTTGTATCAAACTCAATCAAAATCCTATCATCTTCTATATCTTGTTTGATGGTGTCCCACACTCCTGGCTCCACTTGGAGTGAGATAACTTCATATTTAGACCTGATGCCAGCTAGTGCTGTGGATGCATCTTTCTGCCAGGTCTTGATTTTTGATCTTGTTTGGCTGCCCAGCGTGGCTGCAGGTCTGACAGTAACTGTACTGTTGAGTTGGGACCATGTTAGCTCACAGTGACAATGCCTCATTTCATTGTTTATCTCCTCAATCAGATGCCCTTCTTTCTGAAAAAACTTGCATAAGAGTGGATCCAATGACTCTTTGAATGGTGCTGGGAGCTTCTCCTTACCATACAAGGCGGTGCCCAAAGAGATATAGTAGGGGAAGACTGATATTGGCATCTTATTGAAGTTATGCTTCTTGGCCATGATGGTTTCTAACACTTTCAAAGCAAAAGGAATAAAAATAACATCATCTTGATGGGATACATTTCAAATAAAAACAAATTAAGGCAACCCATTTTTGTTTTCTAGAGGAAAATAAATCCTAATGTTTGCACAATGTTGATGTGAAATTTTAAGGCAGCACTATTCCCAAGATGCTCATTTATAAATTGACATGTACTAACAGTGTACAGATAGACCTTATTTAAAGCAACAATTACCTTCTACCTGATTAATATGTTGATACATTTTAATTAATATGTTGATACATATTAATTAACTCCCATTATTCTCTTGTCCATATCTCAGGGATGCATTCCCACCATATGAAATAATGGATATGAATTTCTTCACAAACACAAGGTTGGTATTTGTCCAGTGTGAGGAATATATTGTTCCTCAAAGACAAATTCATTTGAGTAACATGTTATTTGTTCTATTTCATATAGTCATAGAATTTTAAGCTTCACAGTTGTCTTAGATTCTATTACTCATCTTAGAGCAGAACAATAATAACTCTTATATTAGACACTTTTGTATGTATGTTCCAATCCTGGGGCTTGAACTCAGGGTCTGAGCACTATCCTTGAGCTTTTGTACTCAAGGCTAGTGCTCTACCACTTGAGCCACATACTTCCAACATTTTTGGTCATTAATTGGAGATAAGAGTCTCACAGACTTTTCTGCCTAGGCTGGCTTTGAACCATGATCCTCCAATCTCAGCTTCTTGAGTAGCTAGGATTACAGGCATGAGCCATCAACACCCAGCCATCAGATACTTTTTGAAGTGCTTTTTATATATGAAGTTCATTTAATCCTTGAAACCTCCCTTTAAGGGAGAGACATTATTATTATCATCCCTATTTTTAAATAATAAGATGGAGGCTGGGAAGAATTAGATAACTTAAGTGAATATCTGAGTTAATATCCAGCATCTACCAGCCCCAAAACCTGTGATTTTCCATTATAGCAAAACAAAATCATTCTTAGTCATTTGAGAGCCCAGCCCAGAGACTATAATTCAGTAAAAACCCTTACCTCCTTCTGCCCATGATACAGTTACCTCTTGGTCATTGTACAGAGACCGATCCAATCCCCACCCCCCTCTTTCTATTCTTATTAGCCTCCTAGACATTCCCTATTTTCACTTAGTTGCCAGGCAGGTAAAAAAAAATAGGTAAACTCCAGTAATAACTTGGACTTCAACTTCATCCATGGTGGAAAGATGTTAAAATAATTTCATCATATTTGTTTTGTGATCAAGGACTAGTGCCAGGCTTGATAGAAAGATGAAAGCCTCCAAAGCCCAAAAATATAAGCCCAAAATCCCACCACAGTCCCATGGAGGATCTGTGCCAGTATTCACTAGCAGTTACTGAACTCTGCATTATTCCAGGTAGTCTGCAGGTTGGTTTCATCAAGTCATCACAACACTGCTCTCAGCAAATTACTACTGTGACACCCATTTTACAGATAAGAAACCCACAGGTTTGGTGGCTTAAAGCAACTTGTCAAAAATCACAACACGAAGCTAGACGCTGGTGGCTCATGCCTGTAATCCTAGCTACTTAAAGAGACTGAGATTTGGGGATTGTGGTTGCAAAGCCAGCCTGGGCAGGAAAGCCCGTGAGACTCTTATCTCCAATTAACCACCAGAAAACCGGAAGTGGCCTTGTGGCTCAAGTGGTAGAGCGCTAGCCTTGAGCTGAAGAGTTGAGGAACAGCACCCAGGCCCCCCAAAATTCACAGTCAGTAAGCACCAAAACTAGGATTCAAACTCAGGTTTGTCTGTTGTGATGACCATCTAAGATGTCATTTTAATATGCCTTATAGTCTCCATCCTGAGGTTATTTGAAACCATTCCTATTAGTTCCTGAGTAATGACACTTACAGAAAAGATGGAGCAGTAGCACTTTATAGAAACTGTATTATGCTACTGAGTATGTCTTCACCTAGACTTGGCTTAAATTAATTTGAGAATTTATGTGGATGGATAAACACAAATTGTCTTTTTAATATAGCACATCAAAAGCCCCAAGAAAGATACATGTTTTAGTCAGTTATATACAATCTCCTTTTCGCTTTTAAAAATTTGGCACTGATTCTCTAAAATTGTAATCACTGCCCTCATGAAGTATCATATCCCAAGTGAACAGATAATTAAAATCATTTTAAACAAGCAAAATGAGTGAGAATGTAACTAACTGCTAGGACCTGCTTAAATGGCCTAGATTATGCCAGATACCAAAAGCTATGAGATAGTACCTTTTCTGTCACAGAATTCAACCAGAGCAGAACTCTCATCTGGAAAACACTCAACACTGGCAACTCTTCCTCCTCCATTAAAAGGATTTTCAAAGAAAAGTTGCAACTGGTAGTCATCAACACCAGGGGGCAGGTTTTCAACCTTGACTGTTTTTGTCATTTCCAGAAGTCTTGGAGAAACCTGAAGTCTTTTAATTGAATGGTGCCTGGCACAATCATCAACAAATTTGATGGCATCTACAAAAGAAGAAAATTAGGATATTACGATTTGATATCTAAAGAACATAGAAGATTGTGGCCTGGTTATTAATCGAGTTAAAAGGAAGAAGCCAGCACTCCAGTTTGAGACGGGATTTTTACTACCTACTTGAGACTTGGCATGCATAAAACCTCCTGTCTCTGAATGATGTGTCTGTGAATGTGTCACATCATTACTGGCACTGAGCAGTGTTTCTCTAGTCATACTCCTCACCAGCCTACAATGGCATCTTGTAATTTCACTCCCCTCTCTCCAGTCCTTCAATGGTGCCATGCCTGCAGGTCAAAGCTCACACGCCTTCAACAGCTTACAGTGACCTTAGCGATTTCCAAGCATTACTTCAGTTCTTCCCTGCAAATTATTTTCCACATCACCGCAAAAATTAGCCATTGTTTGAAACCTCCCTTTTTTTCCCCTTCACCCTTGCATATGCCATTTTTGTGTCACAAATACCCTTCTCTAATGTTCTGTTATTGTTTTTGCTTTTGTTTTTTTTTTTGCTGTGCTAAGGAACACACTTGTACATGCTAGGGTAACCGCCATGCCCCCCTACCCCACCCCAAGTAAAATGGCAGCCCTTGTAATTTTTTTAAACTTTGTTTATGTTCATCCTTCATGAATCAGCCTACCTTTTCTAAATTAGTAAGAACTGATGGCGGGACCATAATACACTGCGCTACCATCTGTGTATGAATAAAATAATCTAGATATGAATAAAGTAAGTCTTTGCCAGATGGCCACCTAGGAGAGAAGGGGCCTTGAAAGAAACTACATTACCTCTTGTGGGATTGAAAAGGAAAAAAAAAATCATACCTCAAAGTCTTGAATCTGGGTTTTGAAGAGCAAAGAAGAATTTTTCAGAGGGATAAGCAATCAAAGCATGTCAGTCAGAGGTTACAGCAATGGCATGAAACATCTTACTTAGTGCAGTTTAAATACAATCAGCCAGTATGACTACAGTACAGACTTGACAAGTGTAACACTAATACCTTGTTTGGATCTCCTTTCTTCCCATTTCCACAGCTTCTCCTCTTGCTAGCTTGTTATCTATTTCCTCTTGTTATTTACTTCCATAGAAACTTCTTACCTGCTCCCAAACTGTGAGTTCCTCTAGAATATCTGCCCAGGAAGCTAGCAGATGCTATAATATAGATCTACACTGTCCCCCAGAGGCCCATGTACTAAATCCTTAATCCCCAGCTTGATGATATTAGGAGGAGGAAGAACCTTAAGTAGTGAAACCTAGTGGGAGGTTTTCTGGTCCCTGGGTGGGAGAAAGGATTGAGGATGACTTTGCCTCTTTCTTTCAGCCATTAGGCAGAGTATACTCCAAGTGGTAGCCTTGAGCAAAAATACCAAGGGAGAGAGCAAGGCCCTGAGTTCAAGCCCTAGCATGGTGCTCTCTCCCTCTCTCTCTCTCTCTCCTTCCATCTCTCTCTCTCCCCCTCTCTCTCCTTCTCTCTCTCTCTGGTAAAAAGGAGAAGAACAAAGAATATTGGCCAATGAAATGTCCCTTGAGCTTACCTTTATGCTGTGGAAAAGTAACCACGGCAACATCAAAGTCTCGGATAACTTCCATCTGAAAGTCATCACTGGAGAGGCCACTTATGTTCTCCACTAGTAAGGTCAATGTTGTGTCAGTCACATTTGCCTTAAGATTTTCAAGTGCCACCACACAGGAAATGTTTTCACATTCTCTTGGGATATCTTCCTGTTTTTCTGGTGTACTACAGAGAGAAAGTTTTGTGTCCAGCTCTTCTGACACATCTGCTTTGGGGGGAGACAAAGGAAGTTGTATTATATTTATCTGCCATAGTCTTAGCACAGTTAGTTAGACTAAGATATGAATGTTTTGTTTTTAGGTCCCTAATAGAAATAGCTTTCTGCTTTGGTAAGTTAAAAATATGTAAAGCTGCTTTATATTATATTATATTATATTATAATGTAAAGCAGGTGGCTCACCTGAGATCTGAGGATTGCAGTTCAAAGCCAGCCCAGGCAGGAAAGTCTATGAGACTCTTATCTCTAATTAACTACAAAAAGAACCCAGGAAGTGGAGCTGTGGTTCAAGTGCTAAGTGGTAGAGCACTACCTTGAGCACAAAAGCTCAGGAACAGCACCCAGGCCCTGAATTCAAGCCCCAGGGATAGTGTGTGTGTGTGTGTGTGTGTGTGTGTGTGTGTGTGTGTGTGTGTGTGTATGCATGTATGTGTATATATATATATAATATAGCATTTTTCTATTATCATTTGTATTTTAAGTTTAATTATATTATATTCTTTTCTGCTTTATCCCTCTGCCCAACTTGTCCTCCATAGCACTTGACATTTATTTCTATCACAGCATCCATTACAATGATAGAAATAAACTTTTCAAAAGCAAGACCCAGGCTTGTTCATCTTTGTGTTGCTGGCCCATGGTAGATACCTGAGACTCAGTTAATGATCACTGAATAGGAGAACTCCTGCACTCTGATGGAATGCAAGGACATCTAATGATGTGCACACATTTACATTGACTATAGTGTAAGGAGAAACAACATAACAGCACTGAATGAGACAGGTATGATCATGTGGAATAGGTACTGGGTTAGGGATGAGGCTGTATGCATTCAACCCCTGACTGCCACTCTTTTGCTATGTGTCCTTGTCTTAATATTAAATGAGAGCATTGGACTAAGTGAACTACATAGTAAGAGTCTTCCCAGAAACAGTTTTTCCCCCTCTAATACTGGGGTTGAACTCAGAACCTCATACATGCTAAACTGGCACTCTATCATTTGAACCACACCCCAGCCCCACTTTTTGCAGGCTAGAGTTAAATGGATATTTTTTTTGGCTACATAAAATCAAGTGATTTTTTTTTTTTTGCCCAGGCTGGCTTTGAACTTCAGTCCTTTAGATTTCAGCCTCCTCAATAGGTGGGATTATAGATGCAAACTATCAGATCCTGGACAAGCAATTATTTTATAACCTGTGACTATTAGAAGCTTCAACACCAAAGAAGCATGTCAAGAGTTTGAAAAACAGATCAAGGGGCTGGGCTTGTATAGAAAGGCCTCAGAGAACTGGATGTAGCTGTGAGGGCCTTGAAGGGTGCCCAGAATTAGGTACAGAAAATAGCAGTAAAGGATATTGTGGGCAATAATCACCAGACACTTTAGACAAAGGTAATGTGACTGATGTGTCTACAAAGGAGTGCTCTGGGGCAGATATATGAGCAACTAGTTCAGAAAAACAGGTCAGATCCAGAATGTGCTCTGAACTTCACCTTGCAGGTGAAGCTAGAGGTGAGACAGAGTATCTGTGAAAGGATGATGAAATATTTAGAAACAGCTCCCAGAAACAGAGACCACACTATGAGTTCCCTCCATGATAGACTTGAAAGTCACAGGAGGGCCTAGCCACAAGAGAAGGATGGATGTTAAGACTTTTTATAAACTGGTGACCAATGTCTATGAAATGTAAGAAGCTAGATGCCTTTAATTCCCAGAAGGTGAGAGGCAAACTGGCTGAGAACTTAAAAAAGAAACAGTAAGTCCTAAAGAAAACTTGTTTGATGAGCGAAAGGATACAAATGGCTTCAGTAGATTGGCTCTGACTACTCAATAGGAACATCCAAGAGACAAGAAATTTAAAAAGGAGTCTAGACTGGAGATTTGGATGAGGAAGTTCCAGATTTTCCCAACCCAAGTAACCAGTATTCGCTGCCCTTGGCCTTGATTCTTTTCCAAGACATTCCAGCTGCTGGTTTCCAATTTTCTGTCCAGCCCAACTAATCATAGCCTGTCGTTTCAGGTATGCCTAATACATGCCCACCCATGACGCAGCGGCCTCTGCTTCTTGATCTTTGAGACTTAGGACTCATTAGGCAACTCTTCTCCATTCATACACGACTCTGTTCTAAAAATGCCCATCCCAATCTAAGTCATTTCTAGAGTTTTAGCTTAGGTTCATTGTCAGAATTTAGTGTATGTACAGCAATAATTTGACAATAAAATTGTTAAAAGCACAAGAAACATCAATTTCATGGACTTTTAGATATTATTTAGATATTATTTTAACTTATTTCACATTTGTTTAATTAAATTCCTAAGTCTCAGAGAGGACTATCTAGTCCCTTTCTGCCAATGAACCTTTCATGGGAGATTTTAGACTAATTTTGAATGCATTTCCCTAAGATTTGGGTCCATATATCACTGTCTCACTCTTGTTTAGTTCATTCAGCATGGGTCATCATTTTACGCTCCGTAACAACATGCATATCCATGAAAACTAGTAGTTTATAAGTGTCACACCAATATGCAGCCACTATTTAAGTAACAGAATCCAGGACAGCTATCTAACTCCTGGCTGATTCCAATCATAGGTGAGGTAAGAAGAGAAGCTGCCTTTGGGGTCACTGCATCCACTTCTGCTGCTGACCATTATGGTTCTTCTTGCTATGGCTGCATAGGACATCTCTGTACACCAAGTGTTCACAAAGCAGTGCTGACAGATGCAGCCACACAGCATCTGTGGATGGACATGCCCTGTCCTTGTTTCTTTTCCTCTTTCTTTCCTTTTTTTTTTTTTTTGGCCTGGGGCTTGAACTCAGGGCTTGGGCACTATCCTTGAATTTCTTTTACTCAAGGCTAATGCTCTACCACTTGAACCAGTGCCACTTCCTGCTTTTTCTGAGTGGTTTATTGGAAATAAGTCTCACCGACTTTCCTGTCCTTCCTGCCTGGGCTGGCTTCAAATGGAGATCCTCAAATCTCAGCCTCCTGAGTAGCTAGGATTATAGCTGTGAGCCACCAGTGACTGGATCTGTTGTTGTTTCTTACTGGACACCTGGGCATAGATGGGCTCTACCATTAAGCTTCTTGCCACTTTCTAGAAATTTTTTTTTCCCTCTTCTCAACTGCAGACATCTCCCAGGTCCTAGAGGGACTTGAGCCTAAGTAACCTCATAGTGTCTGCTCTCTGACAAGCTTGCATAGATAGGTGTGAAGATGGTCCAGCCCCACACTGAGCAGACCCTGTGATGTGTAAAGATGGAAGAGAAGGACTATTCCCAGGTGATTTCTATAATGACTGCAAAACTGCTTAGTGAACATCAGAGCCGCTTCAACTTTAGTTTTACCTTTAACATCTTCATTTACCCGGGATTCCTAAAACCAAAACAATAAAGTAGCATTACTCTACTAGTAGTAATTACATTAAGAAAACATTCCTAAGACCAGACAGGAGTTGTATGGTAAATAGACATGATAATGGAATACTCCCGCATTGGGTTTCTTGAGTGCATCTGAGGTCATATGTCACGGAGCATCCATTGGTCATTGGTAAAAATGAGATGCAATGTAATTCCTAATTCACATTAAATGTTCAGTGCATGGGGTAATCCTGAATCAGACAAACAGCTGAGGTCATAATTTTCAGACTCAACAGTTATTATGTACTCACTATAACAGCAAGATTCATAGAAGTCATCTCATTAACCCTCACAGTAATCTAACAATCCATTTTTTAATTGGGGAAATAGCAGGTAGTATGGATGGCGGTCTTCTAAAAACAATGCAAGCTTCAGGCTATAAAGAGCCAGAGCTAGCATTTAAAATCCCAAACTAATATTATTGTAACTACTAAAATCAAAGGAAAAGTACTCTTCCTCCATTCTGTCATACCGCCTTAATACAGCTCCCATCTCCTCCATATTTCTCAGCCACTTTTCTCACTCTGGTTTCATCTACACTCCTCATTCCACCACATTTTCTTATTGAGATTCCCACATTTGGGAGCTTGGGACATCATCCGGATCCCTCTGAACCCTGGCTCCATCTGGCTTACCTTTGTTGGAATTTCCTTCTTAAAGACAGGGCCTTCATCCGGGGCAGTGGGCAACTGGACAGTGAGCTTGAATGTTCCTGTTCCTGGCAATTCCAACTCATGATTCTGTTTCTCCAGAACCTTCTGACGAACTGAAAAGTCAAGAAGAGAAAACAGTCAAGTGACATTCTTTATTTTATAATTATTCTATTATTTTTATGTTACTTCAAGTTCTCAAAAGAGGCTCTGTACAGTAAAAAAAAAAAAGAAGAAAAGTTTAGTAAGTGTGTAAGGATTAGAATTTCATTGTTACACATGCATTAACACTATAGTTTGGGTCTGTACTTTCCCGGCAGAGCCTATGTATTAAAGGTTTAGTTGCCAGCCTATGACACTTAATGGGAGGTAATGGAGCATTAAGAAGTATAACCTGGTGGGAGAAAATGAGGTAATGTGTGCTTTTTCAGGAGATATTGGGACCCAGCCCCTTCTCCCTTTTTTACATCTGGTCATGAGATAACGGCAGTCTCATGATGTATCTTGCCAAAAACCAACAGGTCAATTGACCATAAGTGCAAACCTCTAATATTGCTGAGTTAAAATGAACCTTTCTGTTAAGGCATTTTGTCATAGTATTGGAAAGGTGACTAACTCATGTAGCAAGTTCCTTAATAAGCATTATTTATGAAGCAAAAATCTATTTATTAATGAAGTTAATAAAGATTGCTGTTGTTTTATTAAAAATCAATGTTGGCTGCATTACATTGAAGACACATTAAAAAGAACTTGGTACAGGCCCTGACACTCAGTAGGTATTCAAAAAGCAGCAGAATCCATTCTACACGGAGATGAAATAATGAAAGCATCCCTCAGGGACAGCCAGGGCCTAGGACATGGCACGGTGAAAGCTATGTTTTAGGAAGGTGGCTAAGGAACCTAATCAGAAAGTCCAGTTTCTTAGTCTGTGATGATGAGGGCCTCATATCTGGCAGTAAAGGATGTATGAAAGAAGGGATGGAAAATATTTTGCAAAAATAAACACGTAGAGGATTAATATATCAAACATCAGGGATAGAGTATATGCCACGCCTACTCCGGTGGAGTCTGCTGAGCATGGAACACCTGCTATCAGATCTGAGAATGGGGCTTCAAAGAGGCCTACGTCCTGGAAAGTCTGGCAAGCCCCTGGGAAAGAGGTGTTCCTGTTCCTGTTTCTCTTTTCTTCGCTGTATAGGAGTGCCCATTAATCTTTTACTGCTCCTGCTGCTTATTCTACTTACTCATGCTCAACATTCTCTTATTCAGGGCTCTTTCTTGGAAGTGATGATGACTCCAACATCCGATGAGTGTCCTGAGAATATGACTAACTCACCAGAGTTAAGTGCTACCCTGAAAGCCCCTCTTATGGAGGCTATTAGACAAGTCATAAGTAAATTTAAAAGTATTGGGGGGTTCATGACGTCACTTCAGCAGAAGGAATTGTTTGTAAGAGATTTACAAGAAGCTGTAGACACGGCTAGAGCAGAAAGAGTGTATGGCTATTGGGGACTTCCCTTTAATCCTGAAGCATATACAATAGACCCATATGGATATCCTGTAGATAAGAAAGATGTAGACGGATATTTAGACCAAAAGCTAAATAAGATTCCTAAAAGGTTGGTAGATGGAAGGTGGCAATGGCTTATCAGAGGAAAATGGTGGGATCCTCCATTATCTAGGGGACCCCAAGGACTTCCCCCAGATCCATAGCCTGTTACAGATGTGTATGATAAGGATGGCAACTGTTGGGTAAACTACTTAGGAGAAAGAACTTCCTATTACTCTCTTCCATTTACTGAGAGACTTGCTAGATCTAGGCCTCCTTGGTGCTTACTATCAAAAAAGAAGGAACAAGGAAGATCTTATGAGATAGTTAAGGCCTTTATGGAGAAGAGTAAACGATTATGTGAAAGGGTTACAGTGAAGACACTATGAGCCTGAATTTGATATATGGCCAGATTTAACTAAGTATACTGAATATCATGATTTTTGGCCACAAATTGGGGACCCTCTAAAAATGGCAAAGAAGCACAATTGCTTAGAAAAGATTTGAACCGCATAAAGTGCAAAACTAAACAAAAGTAACAATAAAGTACTAGAGTTCATGCCTTTCTGTCCAGCACCTTGCCCATATGCTCTGGTTAATGGTTAATAGGTGATAAGCATCTCGAAACCAATTGTATTTCTTAAAAATATTTGCAATATCTAGTATATGTATGAGTCAAGCGAAAAAGGTCAGATAATGTGATGTTAGGAAAATGAACCCTTAGATATGTAATTTAATGTTTTCCTTTCATGCATTTGTTTCTAACGCATTTATAAGATTATCTCTTTGTAGCTTTGTATGCCCCTCCCCCACAGTATAACCCCTGCTTTCCCTATATTTGATGTCAGTATAACTTGTAAAGGAGATGGGGAAAAACAAGTCGTTTAAGGATACAGGTGGACCTGTTGCAACAATGAGAAGTACAAGATGTCATGTCGAAAACAAGCTTTACAACGTCGGTGCAGGGGTGGTGGTGGAAGGAGGTCGGGGGGTGGGGGGGTGGAGGATTGGGTGGGGGGTGGGGGGAGGGAGGCTGGGAAGGGATGTGAAGGGTAAACAAAGGAGGAGGCTGCAATGCTTGATAAGAAATGTACGCATTAACCTGCCCATGTAATTGTAACCCCTCTGTACAGTGTGTTCACAAAAAAATAAAAATTAAAAAAAAGAAAGATCTAAAAAAAAAATAGAGGTAAAGCCTGGAACATAGCTCGTCAACCAAAAACAAGATCAGGCGACCAGCTGGTGACCACCCAAGAACGAAGCCTTGCAGCAAGATTGTGTAACCTTTTGCCCTTTCTCATGGAGACCTTTTCCTATAAAAGCTTGTCATCCTCTGCAATAAAACGCACTCAGCATTCACTCCTCTTCTGTGTGAGTTGTCTGTTTGCCATCTCCCCACCTGTTCCAGTTACCCCCAATAGGTGTCCTCCCTCGTCCCGACAGAGCCGGTCCGCGGCAAGTATAAAAACTGAAAGTGGAAGTGGACACGTGTGAGTCTAGATGTGACTTTAACCCTGCCAAGAACCAGCTGAATGGCTGTAAGGAAATACAGCTTAACCTCTGTGGAATTTTCATATCCCTGCTTAGCATTTTGTCTGTGAATGCCTTTGGCAATGCCCTCAAATGCAATGCAGATGTAAGCTGGGATGATCAGAAGGATTAGCTAGAAAAGGGAAATTCCATGAAAACATGGAAAGGAAGTTTTGTTAAGGAGAGGGTGTGGTCAACAGTAAGATGGCTCTGAGGTCTGGCAGAAAGGAATTTGGGGGGCCCTGCTATTTGTGGCTCTGGCTATGACATGAATGCTGGGTTACTATGTTATATTCTGATGCAAAGGGTCGGAGAAGCTGAGTCTTTCTTTCTTTCTCCCCTCACCCTTACTTTTTGTTGTGATAATACTGGGCTTGAACTCAAGGCCCCATGCTCTCACTTGGCTTTTTCGAACATACTTCTACTTCAGGCTTGTTGCTGGTTATTTGGACATAAAAATCCCACAGACTTTTCTGCCTGGACTATCTCTGAATGGTGATCCTCAGATCTCAGCCTCGTGAGTAGCTAGAAATACAGGTGTGAGCCACTGGTGCCTGGCTCAACGTCTTAAAGGGAGGCGTGATGGATTTCCCACCTCAGCCAACCATAAAAGAATGGACCTCAATGCTCATTTGGAAACAAGCATTAGAACTGACCTGAGAAAGAATGCTAGCCTCCAACTCCACTCTTTAAGGGACAGGACGTGGATTCTATCCAGACTGGAGGACTGACTACTGAGAGTGACTTCTGAAAGCTGAGAGCAATCTGTAATCCAGTTTATCTGATGTCATCTCTGTTATATAGCTACCTTTGTTCCTGGACTTTGTTTTTAAAGTCCATCCAGGCATATTCCTATGCCAGCTGCTTTTCAGATTGTGTGCAATACGTATGCACATAGGTATTTCAGGGGCTGAATGGTAGTATGATCAGTAATGTGATCCTCAATAAGGACAGGAGTTTGGGAGGAAGAAGAGTGGGAAGTCTCATGTCCAGCTCCCCTCACTGACAAGGACAGTATCCTTCCTGAACCAAGCTCAGAGCATCTACATGTAATTTTATCTAAGAAGACACGTTCTTGCATCCTTGGGAAAGTTCAAGCTCTGATTTATGACAAGCAATTTTGATAACATGTTCAAACTAGGGTTTAAAAGTTACAGGCAGTCTGTGCCCCCAGCATGAGAGCTGCTCTTAAGGACAGTGGGATTTTAGAGAAGAAAGAACCCACTAAGGGCCAAGGGGAAGCTGACAGCTGGAATCAAAGTAGGAGACCTTCTAGGAAAAGGGAAAGCTGGAGGGAAATGGCATTCCATGGTGGAATTAATCCTTGGAGAGAACTGTTCTTAGTCTTCTATAAGAAGGGCCAAGCAGGTCTCTTGTCCCTTTCTGCCTCTCCTGCTAACCTGGCTGCATCCTTCCCTTTCTCCTTCAATTTCCCCTTCTAGGGTCCCTGTTGGGGCATTGTATCTCTCCAAACTGCAAGGCCCCAAAGGCTCCTTGCCTCTCCTCAAGTCCAAAGGCAGGAAGATGACTGTTGTCTGCATCCTGAGGACCACTGGGGGTTGCCACCAGGCTAAGAAATCCCAGGGGGGAGGTGACATTCTGGGAGTCATAGATTTGGAGTTCCCACAAGAGACCTGAGCAAGCCCATAACAGGTGGCCCTTGGCCCACTTTGGAAGAGGAAACTGGTGGGGAGCACGGGGATTCTTACTTGCTCAGCTACTGGCTAGGAGGAACTTGGCCCTGAGATTGAAACACCCCAATTCACATCACCTCAGAATGCCAGCGGTGCTCCACATGTGTGGACGTCCGTGAGACTGAGCAGGGGTGACAGTGGGGAAGGGGTGTACATAGCAGCCTTCTCCCCTCCACTAGTCAAGGCAAACTGGGTGAGGGGCCTCAGTCTCCACCCAAGGGACCTCAGAACCCTGGGAATCTCCATAATCCAGGAGGAATCCCAGCAACTCCCAGTAAATCCCAGTGAGTTTCTTAATCCTCTCCCACCCCAAATGACAAACAACAGGAACAGGGAAAGACAGCCGAGAAGACAGCGAGGAAGGTTGATGGACTCAGGAATCTCAGCTCCCAGTGGATTCACAGCACCTAGGGTGAGCTCTGAATCATTCATCTCCACTCTCCAGGGGCTACTTCACCTCCTGCGACTGCCAATTGACCGGTGCATCCCTCCTGTACCCCCATCCCTGGCCAGTTCTCCCAGCAGGAGGAGCCAGCGCCCCCCTCCGTCCCCCAACCTTTCCTCTGCGCCCCTCACCATCATCTGGGAAGAAGAGCACCAAGAAACGCTGTGGGTTCCCGGGCTCCTGGCGGACCTCACACTCTCCCCCTCCGGATCTCTTCGGGCTCTGGAAGTACTTCTGCAGCTTGACAGTTAAGTTCTTGGGGGGATGGGGACCCCAGGACCCCTCCACCAACAGCGGGAAGGGGCCCACGCCAGCCATCCTCGGCTGGGCTCCTGTGGTGACTGAAGAAAGCTCACTTTGCCTCTTTCGCTTTCGTTTCCAGGAAACTCCTTTAGTTCTTCACTTATGTCCAGCTGCTCTAGGACAGGAATAGTAGCTCTGCCCTCCTAAACCCATATCCCAGCCTTTCCCCCAAGTTGCCCTTTGGGGCTGGCTGTTAGGATCAGCTGTTCTCAGTCCCTAAGCTGAGCCATCACCTGCCAAGCGACTGAGATACGTTTTTCACAAATACACAGTTCTATATTTTTTTTAATTTTTGGAATCAGTCCCACCTTTGACAAGAAAGTGGCTCATCAGCTGTGATTTTTCTTAGGACTTTTGCTGCCCCTCTGGGGAAGACCATCAACAATCAACAGATGATCTGGATCTGGAATTTTCCTTCAGTGCTTCCTTCAGTCTTTCCTTTGAGTTATGTTTCATGACCAGAGACTACTGCCTCCAAAGATGGTAGAAATGATACACTGCCTATTTTTCCAAAAGTTTCTTGGTAGAACGGAGATACATTCAATAGAGGACCTTCACCACCGCCCACAGCTGGGGGAAACAGGAGTTAGAGCCATGGAATAAAAGCTCTGGGAGGAAGTGGTGCTGTGGCTCAAGCGGTAGAGTGCTTGCCTTGAGCTGAAGAGCATACGGACAGCACTCAGGCCCAGAGTTCAAGCCCCACGACCAACCAAAAAAAGAAAAAGAAAAGGAAAAAAGAAAAAAAAAAGCTCTGGGAAAGGAAAACACAGATCTTCCTGGGATGAATGAGAACAAGGAAGGGATCCCCAAAATGTAGAATATGGGGAAATGGGCTGTGAATGTCTCTTGAAGCCTAGAGATGCCATAGAGGGCTGGGAAGCAGGGAAATGGTTATGTGACTTGCTTGCTCAGGATTAATCTGGCTGCTGGCAGTAGAGTCAGCCAAGTGACTGCCTAAATACCCCAGGCCAATGGAGGCTGCCTGAGACCAGAGTCCTGGCAGAGGAGAATGGAGAAGTGTGGGCTCTAAATGGTAGGGAAGGCAGGCTTACTGAAACCAATAGAGCCCCGACAGATGGGAAAGCTGAAGATGACCCCATCTTCACCCATGTGTAGACCAAGCCAAGTGGCCCAAGAATCAATGTATTAAAATGGGTGGAGGGTAGGGTTGCAGGAGTGGGGAGAGAAAGAGGCTGGGGATCTGTATATCCTCCACCCATGAGAGAGTGTTTCTAGTTACAGGGAAGCCTTATGCTTCCTTCCAGCATCGGGGTACCTGGAGTCAGAACACCGTCTATTGACCAGCTGGGACAACGGCAGCCCTGTCGGCTGGGGAGAAGAAAAGCAAGGCAGGGGCCTGAGAACTAGAAGAGGGAAGGAAGTAGAGGCAGCAAGAGTTGCCAGATCTTTCTAGAAGTGTGGCTGTGGAGGGGGAAAAAGGAGCTAGGCAGCACTTGGGAGGATCCGAGTTGTCACTCGTGTTTCCTTGTTTTTAGCACAGAAAGTGTTCAGCATTGGTGCATTTTGATGGAAAGAAAGGAGAATGGAAGAAACTGGTAGTGGGAGAAGGTGAGAAGGCTTCCTTCTGGCATCAGCCTTAGGAGCAAGACACTCCCCAGCAGCCAGGTAGAGATAGAACACAGGAGTAAGGCTTTGTGAATGAGGCTGGTGGGCGTGTCCTGGAGTTCTCACCCCACAGCTTCTTGTTCGCTGTTGAAGAAGGATGTGAGGTTTTTTGTTTTAGAATCTACCAAAGTCAGAACTTCTTTCTACTATAGGTATGGGCCTGCATTTTACATCGTAACCATAATGAAGCTGAATTTCAGGATAGAGAGAACCAGAGATGGACCCCCCCCAAAAAAAAGTGTTTCCTGTGCTTTTATTCTTCATCTATAATAAAGCTCAACCGTATCTAGATATTTTCCTCCTGCCTTTGGCATTCTACTTGCAGATGGTGCTCATGATCTGATCCAAACTCCTATGGACCCCAGGAGGGCAAGTGTAGCGGACACAGAGTTTAGGTTGTAGTCCTCAACCAAACATGGTGACCATCTCTGTCTTACCTCAAGCCATAAGGAAAATCAGCAATCTCATTCCCCCGACTCGCCAAGCACTTGGAGACTGAAGGAGAAAATGGTTTCTCTTCCTCACATCCTCAATTGATAAGAAATTGAAGTAGGAATACTAGGTTTAACCAGTGCCATGTTGGCCATATGGTGGATAGGGAATTGGATTTAACTGGCGCCATCTTGTCTTCATGGTGGAGGAAGGTGAAGACCCACCTCCCAGGTAATGGAAGATTGGTTGCTGGACCTGTCAGTCCTGTGCTTTTAACTCAGGAGACTCTTGAGTTTCCTGTGACCCCGCCCCCTGATGCTGACCCTATTTAGTCTTGGACCAGCTCAGATGCCATTAGGCGTGCCTTGTGTGCTGTGTCTCCTGTCTCCTGGCTCTCCTCCTGTCACCATGGCATCCCACTTCCACTTCCCGGTGGAGTTGATCTGGTTAGTTAGTATTGTTTTTCTGCTCTTTCTTTCCTATCCTGCTCTCACAACTCAGTTTTCTGACAGTATTAAGTGTAGTTGAGGGGCTGCTGGTCTTGGTGATAGGAGTCCATCTTCAGTTACCAGCTTTCCAATAACTACTCCCAATTCTACCTTCTCTGTTTCTTGTGACCGAGATTCCTTACAACAAAATAAAGTCAGAGTAAATGCTTCATTTAAAGTAGAAGTTTTTGCTGGATTTCTTTCGAGGATTGCTTTATCAGTAGTATAAGTTTGTGACTCAAAGTCTGCTTATCACTCCTTGACAGAGCATCCTTGCAGCATAATAGGTTGGCGGGGGGACCATAAAGACTCAGACTTTTCTGTTGATCATGGTGAAACTCTGGTGGGGTTTTATCCTACAAGCTCCCCATGGCGTTCCTCTGAGGCTATTGTGAGGCCTGCATTGCAGCCTCTGCCCAATTTGACTTCCTCTCTCTCCCTTCCACAGGTGCTCATCCCAAGGAAAGTTTCAGCTCAACATCCTGCACGCTGCATATCATGTGATAAGCCAGTCCCTACAGAAGCTGACTTGTAGTGTTCATGGATGTTACCTTTTAACTCCATGGGATGAGGGCTGGTTACTGACTAGGAACAAGTGCTGTCTGCTCAATCTGTATCTTTCCCAGTCCAGCCATGCATACTTCCTTGAATAAATCATCAGTGCCCTTCCTCAAACTGTCTCAAGTTCAGGGTATTTGCATTTTTAAAAGATTTATTATCAGTGAGAAAGTACATTTTAAAAATCTTTGCTCTGTGGAAGAGATTTGGAAAGTCTGACAGATGTTTCCTGCCTGGGATGGCAATCCTCATATTTCAGCCTCTTGAGTTGGTAGGACTGTAGGAATGAGATACCTATACCTGGCCGGTGAGCGACTGGGGTGTAAGTTCAGTCTTCTCCATATAAAATACGCAATTCTCCCAACCCACTTGTTAAAGACTATCATTTCTCCAATGATATTTTTGGCATCTTAGTAACAAAAAAAAGATGTCTCTAGCTGTGTAACTTTATTTCCAGATCATGTATTCTATTCCACTGGTCAACATGTCTGTTTTGTGCCACTCCCTTGCTGTTTTCCTTACTATAGAGCTGTATTATAATTTGAAGTTAGGTCTTAGTATACCTCCACTGTCTTAATAGGCTTAGTGAATCTTTTGAAATATATATTCCAAAATTAGAAAATCTAGAAGAAATGAATATATTTCTAGATGCCTATGACCTATCAAACTTGAAACAAGAAGATACAAATAACAGAGCAAAGAAACTGAAGCAAGAATGAAAAGCTCAGGAATGTATAGATTTACTGCTGAATTCTACCTGATTTTTAAGGAACTGACTCAATGTGTCTCAAAATAGTTCACAAAATACAAAGGAAAACACTTCCAAACATAATCTGTAAAGGGAGTATTTCCAGATACTGAAATGGATTGAGGACATAAAAAAGGGGAAAACTATAGGTCAATTTCCTTGATGAACACAAACACAAATAAAATGCTTCAATGGGAAATGAAAATTATCATACACTACTTGCAAACTATATTTGACAATACATTATAATGCTCATATGCCAGATCAAGTTGACAATTTTTTTTTGCTTTTTCCCCACTATCCTCCCCATATGAAGAATTCAAGAATGTCTTTGTAGCTCCCAGAAGATTCTTAGAGCCAATTAGTTATGGACTTGAACCTCCAAAATAATAAGATAAAATAAACCTTTTATCTTTATAAGTTTATTTATCTCAGGTATTTGTTATTGAACCCTCAAAACAGACAGACCAACACAAGCATCAAACATAAAATAAAGAAGAGAGGTGGATGAAACAGGTTTGGGACCTATCTCTGGCTGCCTCTGTGACTCGCGTCACTTTCTCTGCCTTCAAAAAGACTCAGCATTGACTTCGCTAGGCCTGAGACTAAGACCCATGGCATCTTCCTCACTCGGTGTTAGATCCTTGAGAAGCTGCAACCTAGTTCCAATGGTTGTCAAGGAAACCAAAGCATCCTTCCTCTGATCATACCTTTCCAGAACACTAAAGACCAGTTTCCCAATATTCTTTTCTAAAGGACATGTACTGTTACTTTGGACTTAAATAACCACCTGAGGAAACTGAAATATCCTGGAGACCATGCAGCTTAAGAAAAGAGAAGAGAAACAAACACACAGCATGAGGATTACTGGAAGTCAGACTTTGATTGCTAAGAAGTGAAACAGCTGGCACTGGAGAAAACTAGGAGAGACCCAGCTTTCTTCCCGTGGCGGGTTTTCTCATAGGGACAGTAATGGGCTCAATTTCTTTATAATAAGAATTCCTTAACTCAAGAGTCAAAGCAGACACCCTGAAAACATTGAAGGACAGAATAGGAGAAACCTGTTTTCCTTGGCACAGGCTGAAAACTTTTCTTAATAGAGACCCAGAAACACAACAAATCAAAGAAAGGTTGGACAAATGGGATTGCATGAAGCTGCAGAG